CCCCAACCACACCTCCTCACAAAATACAAGACTAAGACTTTATTTTTGAGTTACTATGCAATCACCTCTATATACATGATGCAAACACAAATCATGACAAAAATATTTTTATAATAAAATTTAAAATATGTTATAGTAGGTGTTTGATTTGTAGTGTATGATTTGTTTTTTTTCTGGTTTTGAAATGGCCACCCCCCTAACAAAAGGAGTTTTTTCTGGGGGGCAAGGAGAGGGACTTCCGGTGGAAAAGGTCAGGGGTTAGGGGAAGGACTTAAGGTCCCAAGATGGCAACCAGGGGGCAGGGCAACTGTTAAGGGGCAGGGTTGCCCGCTCACCAAACCTCATTAAGCAGTCCTCCAGCTGAAATAATTGCCCGCCCCTGACCTAGGTGTTGAATCTCTTGGAAATGAGTATTTTCTTAGGGTTATGCACAATCCATTAGACTCCCATGTCAAAAATCAAAGTGCTTTTAGTTAATTACTAATACTTTACACAGCTTCACTCTCTTCCAACTTTCTTCTTTCCTTTCCTTTCCTTTTGATCCCCTGCTTTGCACGGGGAGACTAGCTAACTGTTCCCTTGTTATAGTTCTTCTAAATCTTGACTTTGCACTTTTTTATATGACTTCCTGTTGTATATGTATTTTTCCTGGCCATTGTGGGTGAGAAAGACAGGGGACTAAATGATGGCCCAGGAAGTCGTGTGGGTGTCAGGGACATCATGAGTAAGGAGGGAGTTTTTTAGCTGTTGGAAAAATGAACTGAGGCCCGACTAAAATGTTATCGACCCCACATTCTTCATATTAAGAACTGCTGGTAATGACCTTCCTCATGTACTAGCTGGTTCTTAACCAGGGCCAGTGAAAGCAAGGAAGTTGCTACAAGTGTAAAAAAAAAATGGCATGTGATCATGACTAGCTCTGGTTGAGGCTGAGCCTTCAGTGAAGAGTTTAGGACTACTGATTTAAGTTCCTTGAGGAACTGTGTCTTTATTTGTTAATTACACAGAAAGTAGTTGCTATTTAATAAGATACGTAAGATACTTCTGAAATTAGTGCTAATACCACATATTAGTTTCACTGAGGCACTTGAAAGCATGTAGTTAACTTAAGAATATTCAAAAGAAGAACTTATATCTATCCCAAAATAAAAAATAAAAATACAGGAATGTTTTCTTGTCATTAAATTATTATATACACTCTCCTATTAGTCACAGTTCTTATCTATACCCTATTTTATTATAATAGCATAGAGAAAATAAAAGTGAATCTAATTGTGTATAATGAAATGGAAACTGGTGATTATTGTTGCTGTTTATTATTTCTTGTTGCTGTAAATATACACAGCATTGTAGAGCCTGGTAACAGTCATTTTCCTGGAAAACCTACAAACGAAGTAAAAGCACATTTTCTATAGTATAATGACAGTCTTAAAGTACTATGTTGCCACTAATTTTATTGCAGGAGAATACTCTTAAGTTAGAAAAAGCGGAGCCATTTAATTGCATCAAACTATGTTTTTCTTTTTTATTGACAGACAGAGGTAGTAATTTGTGGAGAACATACATCCCTGTGATGCTGCTGGCAGTTAAATATGAGCTTGTCATATGAAAAAGCTTCTGCAGTCCTTGAACACTGGATTCCAAATAATCAGAGCTGAATATAACTGTCTTCCCATGTGGTATGTCGGATAACTGGCCACTCTTGGTAGAAACCAGGAATCCATAGAATGGTTTCAGGGAAGATTCATTGTGCTTTAGAATTTGAGCTTTAGCTGCTAATAAAGCACTTTTTTTTAAGTTAAAATTCATCTGAATACTTAAACTGTGATTTTTACCCTGTCCATTTTTTTGAAAATCATTCTTCTTTTAAGTTTTATCTATCATAGAATTACTTGGATATCTTTTTCTTGTAAATATATTTGAGGTTTACCCAGTGTGTTAATATTCAATAATGTATTGGACTTTAGCTCCATGCCTATCTTCTTTTTTTCTTTTATTATTAACAAAAAGATAAAAACTTGAAGAATTAATGGCAACTTTTTTGCAGGTGTATAATTACCAAACTATAACTGACGAGGCATGAAAAAATATGCAACTGCTGGAATCAAAGGAGCCTTCTTACTGACTGTGGAGTATTAGAATTACTCCATGCTAATATGCATTATACGTGACTATTTTGTCTGTTTGGGTTCTTTTAGCCACTTGTAAATCATTGGTTGGTTAAAGACTTAAAGTCTTTAAGTGACTGTATCACTTAGGTGTCAGATAACCCTGGTAATAACATAGGCTTGATGAGTGTTTCAGTCTGCTTAATATGCATTACATAGCAGTAGTTCCAAGCAAGAACATTGTGGGGATCAGACAAAATTCTTTTGTTTTCCTATAGACTCAACAAAAAATATAATATCAGTAACAATATACAGACATAACTACAAAAATTGCAAGGCTGTGGGGCACTCGCACAATTTTCTCACCTGTTTAACACTATTAGCATTCTTAATATTCAGCAAACATCAATATGGGGAAATTCATCTTGAGAACATAAGATATATAGATATTACGTGCCATACAATGTATTTTGGTTAGGGTTTTTTTTTAGTGAATATGGTAACTTTTATGCTAGATTCTGTGCTGCTTGGAAGGACTTTTCTGTCCAATTCCTTAAAAAAAATCACTTTTTGGAAACTACAAAAAAGTGGAAACTTTTTTTGATATATATATATATATATAGGGAAGTTTACTGTGTAGCTTGGTCTCAATTGTAGCCCTGTTTTGTGCTTTTTAAAGCCAGCAACTGTTTAAAAAAATTAAAGTAGCCAATGAAATTGTGTGCAAGTATATAAAGAAAACATGCCTACAACAGTACAGTTCTATTTATGTTGATGTATTTCAGCAAAATATCTTTCTGTTGACTGTGCAGTAAGCTGTAGCATGGTACTGTGTCTTCCAAACTAGTCCTACATATATTTCCTAAAGAATAAAGAAAAAAAAGACAAACTAATCATGTTTGTTTTACTGTGATATATTGTGTTTGACAGATGTCACCTGAGATTTATATGGTGTCATTGTATAACTGGTAGAATTCTTCACTTGCATGACATGTATAGCATGTATAAAAGTGAAATACATTTTCATTCGAGTCTGACTTGTTTCCTAGCATTTTTTTCGAATAATCCTGGCAAAAATTTGGATTAAAAAAATGTCTGTGTTTTTTCTCAGAAAGATATCATTGTGAATGACATGATGATCCCTTAGTTTCTCCAAATATTTTAAGTTTTACATTTGTTTTCTTACTGTTGTTTTGATTTGGTTCATAAAGGCTACATGGTAAATAGATGAATGCTAGACTAGTAAGAAAAGCTATAAGAAAAGCAAATGGCCTTTAGAAAATAGTGTTCTCTCAGGTACTTGACCTGTGAATGTATCCATATTACAAAGCAACATTCAGCACAAATGTTGAACTACTCATTAGGCTAAACACACATACCTCTTTTTGGAAGGAGTCCAGTTTGAGTAACAGAATTGCCAACACTGTTCTCTTCATCTATTAGAGAAGAGTTGTTTGCAAATGTTTTGTTTAAAAAAAAAAAAGAAAGAAAACTAATTTCTATTAAAAATGCAAAATGAGCAAGTCTGATGCATTTTAGAGTGTATTACACCTGCCATTCATGATAACATTCATCTCATATTCATTTGAGCAGTGAGTTGTATTTGAATAAGACAGGAATTCTGGGGCTTTAAAATCTATCTGATAAGTTATCTTTCAAGTCCTGTGTATATATGTGTAGAATTAAGCCATTTGGAAGTCAAGTTTTGTGGGGAGAAAGAGCAAGGGTGGGGAAAATAAGGAAATGGTCCACAAGTTGATTTTTCTTACAAAATGTCAACAGAACGGGAGTCTTGGAGGACCACTGAAATAGGACTCTGTTGTTGTTTCTGCTGAAAGTCAAAAGTGAATTGGTATGGTGAAACTGCAGAAAATTTTTAACAGCTGGGCTAGCACACAATATGGGCCAATAATACATATGCAATGAAATATAAAATATAATGAAATATAATACATTGAAATGAAATATCCTCAACCTTGTATGTAACAATATGTATCCTGTAGGATTTCACTAATAGTCAAAAAAATAATGGTTCTCTCTCACCATTTCCCTCCCTCAATTCCCTCTGAAGACCTGCCAAATTGAATGGTCTTTCTTGGAGGTTTTGTCTTTTTCTTTTTAAATTGCAAACACATAACATAATGAGGGTGGGAATGCTATGTCCGCTCTACTTCCTTGAATCTGCCAGGGACCCTGTTAGGAAGCCTAGAGTCCTGCCCGATTCTCACTTGCTGAGTGGAGGAAAGAAAGCTGAGAGAAAGGGGCTGAAAAATCTACATAAGATACAGTATGTCTGTTCTGCCATCAGGAGGGGCAGCTGTAGCACTGGTAGGTATATCTGTGTTGGTTTTAATCTAGCTAGCACAAGCAACAGTGAAACTGGCAGCACAGATTAGAGCATGAGTAGGACAAGACCATCAGATACCTGGCTACATCATCAGGTTGCTGTTTTGTACTAACATTTGTGCTCCACATTTTTCTTGCTATTGTTATCCATATTAGCTAAAGTTAAAGTCAAGCCTGGCTACCTGGCAGACCTCTTGGTTATGGAGTAGAAGCACCTGGAGCCGGATTTCCCCTTCCCATACAGTGCCATGCTCTGGACCAAAGTCCAAGCAGCCTATTGGGTTACAGAACCTCCCTCTGACTCTTTGTGGTCCCACCAAATGCATTGTAGTCCTTCAAAGTTGTGCCAATTGTAAGTAAAGAAACTGAAGGGAAGAAAACCCATATGGCAGCCTGCTAATTTTGCCATAAAAGGAAAATCTCTTTCAGACCTCAAAAGTGAAAGTCAGCCTAGCTCTCAGCATTGCCAAAGATCCAACCACTAAATGATAATTGGGAATGAATTTGTTAGAATAGAGTCAGGTGGAAAAGCACCTAGGGTTATAGAATAAGCCAGCTGAATATAGATCAGAATCTCAGGAGACAGGTTCAGAAAAGACAGTCAAATTGGAAAGTGTCCAGCAGACAGCAGCAAAAATGATTAGAGGTTTAGAAAAGGTGACTTAAAAGGAAGGGTTGGGAGAACTGGGGTCATTTAGTCTGGAGTAGAGAAGAATGAAGGAAGGATGATAAATCTTCAAATATATGAAGAGTGGTTATAAAGAGGATAGCAATTGAATTTTCTCTGTTGCTGCAGGAATCAGGACAAGAAGTAATTGTCTTACATCTCAGCAAAGGAAATTTAGGTTGGATATTAGGAAGGTCTGTCTAACTATAGTTAAGCATTCAAGCAGGTTAACCCTAGGTTGTGATATCTCCATCTGTGGAAGTTTTTGAGAGAAAGCTAGACAAGCAATTGGATGAGATGGTTTAGAGATAATGATGATTCTGCTTTGAGCAGGGGGTCGGACTAGATGAACGCCTGAGGTCCCTTCCAGCCCTACTTTTCTATGATTGAGAGGATCTGAAATTGGCAGCCCACAGCAGCTACCTTGTCTCATTAGTGAAAACTAGCAGCACCTTTCTCTCACCAGCATCTCCACATAGGAGCCATTGATAGTGGTGGGCAGAACAGAGTTTGAAATGGGCAGATTTACCATATGACACACCTTTTTAAACTTCCACTGGGCAATGCAGATAAGGGGACTGAGAAAGAGGCATTCTGTTTTCACATGTTCAGGAGCAGCCAAAAGTAGCACTGTCCTCAAAGGCAGGGTGAAGTGCCACACTTGATGCTCCTTGTTGAGATTTTCTCTCTGCTACCTCCACAAGGATATGTCCACTTTTCCCAGTCTTATTAAAGCCAGACTGTGATTAGTGAGGTAAGCATTTGGCTGGACAGGGCAGAAGATGAGAAGAATTCTGTTTTCTGTGGCTTCAGTTATGCAATTACATGGAGTGGCATTCCACTTTCTTGATTCATGTGTTCAGCTCCCAATAATATATTTTTAATAACTTTAATCCACAATAGATTTCTTGTTAGTTAAACCAGGTTGTATTAAAAATAATGGTGATGCTGAGGTTGCAGAGAAGCACTTGTTGGTGAATGAAGTGTATCTTTATCAACTCATCCTGTGGTCAGATTCTTAAGAAATTAATGCTTAATGTCAGATTTGTAACAAGGCAGCTCCATGCACTGGGCTGCGTCTATTCCTGCACCCCCTGCCCCCTTGCTTCCCCACTCCCTAGTGAGGAAGTTTTGTAATTAGTAGTTGTACCATCAGTTCCTAAACACCTTTCCTTCTGGTACTTTATGTGCAGAAGTGGTCCTGAGATGGAAGGCATCAAACTCTTAAGTGGCAGCACGCTTTCAAAAACTTATCCATTTGCAATTTCGCAGTAGAATCAGGATTCTTCATGGGGTTAGGTTCCTAGGCTCCTGTGAAGGATGAGGGTTTGCAAACTAGCTGGGGGCATATATAGCTGCAGCATATAGCTGTGTGGGACCACTGATATGCTCTAGCTGAGTGAAGAAATGACACTTTTTCAAGTAAAAGCCAGGCAATCTTATGAGCATCTTATTCTTAATTTGCCAGCCCACTGCAAAGTAAGCAGTTTGCAAGCCAACCTGATATGAAAAAAAATCAGGTTCTAATGTTCTCAGTTTTTCTGAACCACTGTTCATATGTTAAAACAGTTGCATTGGTGCTGGCTGTTGGTTTTCCAATTTAATTTGTATGCAACTGAAGTTACTGATGAAATTCAGTAATTAGAAGATGCTTCCTTTTTTGCCTAAGTATTGGTAGGATTTTA